GTCAGTCCGGTTCCTATTCCACCGGCAAGTCAAAATAAATTACAACAATTAACAATCACACACGCTTCCTTCCGTCAGGCCGAAGGACCCCTGAGCAGCATTGATTGCTCCACCACGGGAGGATTGACTGTCAGCTTGCCTTGTCCCACTCTTTCCTCTCAGATCCAGAATCCAGATCTGTCAGATAAAGCAATATACCCTAGAAAGATCACACCTGTTGGCCTTACCCAACCTGGTCCTTCCCATAAGCCACTTCGCTCCCCCTTTGGACGACCGACAGTTAACACTGAAACCTACACCCTCAGTCTGCAATCTTATCGTCAGAACGTCAAAATTGGGTCTTGGCAGGTGCTAGTAGGCTTCCRAATCTCTGGGATGGGATCCTCCTTGGCGACCCCCGTACATGCTCCAGAGTTGTCAGACTTGTCCTCGTTTTCCACGTCGTCTGTATCCCCTGGGTTATGTTTAAGCTCTTGCAGCCTAGGAAGTGCTTAAGCCTTCCAGCGACGTCTGATGTTGGGAACCCCTTCCTGGATTTGAATTATGCCATTCTTTCCAGCATACCATGTCGCAGTTCTCCAATCTTGCCATCAACCAGCCAGCTCCTGTGGAATCTCTGCCTCTCCTTGTTCCGCTGTTCTTCGTCTTCGGACCAGGCTCGCTTGATCTTCCGCCATCTGCACAGGATCTCGGCTTGAATCATTGTTTTAGTTTCTATCCACACTTTCTCCCGTGGGTTGGAGAGTCCTTCAATTGTTCGACTGCATCTCTCCTTCCATATGACCCATAGGGTCACCTTTCTGATGAGTTCAAACCAGGTCCTCTCAGCCTTCCGAGCCTGATCAGGGATGTTAGTCAAGAGGAGCAGTTGAATGGGTTGTTTGGGGAAGGGAGATGAGAAGAGGGAATCCCAGAGTGAAGACGCTCTCGCCCAGTATTCGGTTGCTTCTTTACAGAGGGCTAGGCAGTGGACTATATCTTCTACCGAGCCTTCAGTGCAGACTGCACATAATTCTGAACTGTCTGGGTCTGTGGTTTTCCGTCTAATGTGCAGCCATTGATTCACTGGCAGGGCTGCGTATACAATCAGCCATTGCAAGCTTCTGATCTTGATTGGTCTGATGCGTTTGAATTTTTCCCAATGTAATCGTGTGATTTTGTCAGCTTCTTGACCCACGAGGTTCCGCCATCTGTTTTTGATGATTGGATCTGGGTTTTTGGTCTTCAGAGACAGTCTGTACCCGAGTTTAACTGAGTAGTCCTGGATCGGGATTTTTTATTTGAAATTGCTGGTGGCATTTGGCTTCCAGGCTCACTCCGCTGGGTCGAGCTCCAGGGATCGGATTGCCGTCTCTGGTCTGAAAATTTCCTTTGGCCATGAGCCTAGGCCCCTTACTTTTCTTAGGAGGAAAGAGTCCAATATAGCCGATTCTACATTGTCGTTGAAAATAGCTGGCCTGTCCATCTTGGTGAAGGAGACCGGGAAGGAGAGAAAACTGGGTCTGGTATGTGAGCCTTGCTGCATGTGAGAGAATTGATAGACTCTAGTAGGGGATGTGTCTTGAATCAAAAGACCCCATTCGCCCGGTCTCCAGGACTCATCCTTTACCAGGATATCTGTCCATTCTTGAAGAATACAATTGAGTATGTATTGGAGATTGGTCTCTCATTTGTGGCAACCTTTCAGTTGGGCACTAGCTTCTTGTTCTGTTATCCAGTCTTTTCTGTCCTCCATCCACAAGTGGTCTACTTTCCAGATACCGTTCTTGATCCACGATAGCCATCTCTGTTCTAGGAAAAGAGGGTTGCTGGCTTCGTTTGTCAGCCATTCATTTCCGAAGAGCGGTTGTCTTAGTACTTCGTCTTTAGATTTAGGTTTATTTATCTTGTTAGGGATTATTTTCCTCCATGATCGGAGCAATGCCGGCCAGTAGGGGGTGGGCGGCCGATGGTCTTCGGGTCCATTGTTCCTCGTCCGGTTCCTCTGTCCTGTGGAAATCACCCATTCTTTGTTCATTACCCAAAATAGGCCTGACATGTCGTTCGGGGAGGGAACAGGAGCTACCGATCTGATACTGTCCAGTGCCAAGTTATTCCAGGCGCTGTCCGGATTCATCAGCAGTTTGATGATCCATTTAATTTGCAGAGCTTTCGTTTCTGTTCCGGGGTCAATGATTCCTAGGCCCCCATCGCGTGGTCTCCTTGTGATGAATTGCCAGGCTATCTTAGATATGCACTTGTCTTTGTTGGGTCTCCTGTCCAAAGGTAAATCCTGGCCCATCTGTTCAACTCCTTAATCGAGCTGTCAGGAACTGTCCAGATAGAGGCAATATACCACATCATTGAGAAGATCGACGTATTGAGAACCAGTGTTCGGCCTATAAGGGAAGTAAAGGCGTTTGCCCCATCTTCCGATTTTGTTAATCTGTTTGGCCAGCATAGTCGGGCCCATTTGGGGCGCCAGTCCTTTCGTCATCAGGATACCTAGATAGCGTGTGGGTGTGTCCGGTGTTTGCCATGTCATAGCCGCCTCATCTCCTTGAGGAGAAAGGGGTTCGTCATCAGAAAGCCACCAGCCAATTGTTTTCCCCCAATTGATCTTCATTTCTGAGGCTAACCTGAATGCCTCCATTGCTTTAGCTAGTGTTCTGAAGGATGAATCTGAAGCTCTGATTAGAACTGTTAGATCATCGGCGAACATGATGGCTGCGGGGAAATCCATCTGGTGGGCCGAGCCTACATCGGTGCTGGCTAGTCTCTGGATTGAGGGATCCTTGCGCAGGAAGGATGCGATTGCCTCCATTACGAATAGGAAGATTGACGGAGCTAAAGGGTCCTCTTGGCGGACCGAGCGGGAAATCGGATAGCAATCTGACAACAGTCCATTGACTTGGACACAGCCAACTGCATCCTTGTAGAGTATCCTGACCCATTTTCTGAAGTTCGGTCTGACTCCCATTCTTTCCATGCTTGCTTCCATAAAGTCCCAGTTGACTTGGTCGTATGCTTTCTCAAAGTCAAAGAAGAGAATGGCGACATTTATTTTCCTTTCTCTGATTTTTCTTACAGACTCATTCAATGTCATAACATTGTCCAGGATGTAACGACCCTAGATGAATCCTGTTTGGTCAATGTGGAAGCATTGATTGATAATCTTGATAATCCGGTTCGATAAGGTCTTGGCCAAGATCTTATATGGGAGGGTTAGTAATGATATGGGCCTGTAGTTTTTTATGTCGTCTTTTTCGCCCTTTTTGTAGAGTAGCGTGATCACGCTGCTGCTGAGAAGATTACCCAGCCCCCCCTGGGACCAACTGTCATTATAAAAGTTTATTAAGTCATTACCTAGCAAGGGCCATAATTTTTCCCAGAATTCTTTTGTTAAGTCGTCAATTCCTGGGGTCTTATTGTTGTTCATACTTTGTAGAGCCCGAAGTATTTCATCTGATGTGAAGGGCTTGTCAAGCATTTCAGCCTGATCAGGTGAAATTGTTCACTCTAGGTATTGTAGCATCTTCTGCCTTGCTTCTCTGATGTTGATGGGTATTGGTGTCCCCGTCTTGGACTGGTATAGCTCCTTGTAGAACTTATTGGCTATCTCAAGCATTCCTTCACTATCTGTTTTCACCGTTTTGGGAGCCGTGTGTGACCTCAGGCCTTCTATCGTGCCAGCTCTCGAATTAGCTTTAATTCGGGCAAAGAAGTGTTTAGTCATTGAGTCGCTTAGTTCGTATTCGCACATTCTTGCTCTTATTTGGAGGCCTCTCAGATCCCACCATTTTCCACATGGCCAATTCCTCTCGAGCCTTGTCGAAGATTTCGATATAAAGTTGAGAGGCGGGGTTGTTTGACAGGTTAGATTCAGCTATTTTCAGTGCAAATTCTAACGACTGCTTTCTTTGTTTCCTTATCGACGCTAGCTTCCTAGACACTTTGGCCGCGGTGTCTGAAAGGGTCGAGTAGCTCTTTTGGAACCGTTCCCATCGAGGAGTAGTGCTAAGGCGTACCGACCTCAACCCTTGCCAACAGTCACAAATTTCGTTTTCGAAGGTTTTACTCATCAAGAGAGAGTTGTTGAGTTTGTGGAAGTTGGCTCCTTTTGAAACCACTTGGTCAAAGGATATGACTAGTTCAATTGGTTTGTGATCCAGCCCAGAATATGGAGCCAGTGGTAATACTTCGGCTTCCTTGACTGCCCCCATCAAGACTTCAAACACTAGGAAGTAGTCGATTCGTGAAAAGGCCATATGGTTGGCATGGTTCTTCTTGACTAAGGTGAAGGTTCTCTTATTGGGGTGCAGGATTCTATGGGGGTCTGCCAAGTTGTGGTTCAACATCATTTCCTGGATTGGTGTTGCTTCTGATAAGTTCGGGATGGTGGAGGATCGAGAAATACGGTCCACTGAGGGATCTATTGTAGCATTCCAATCTCCAGCCAGAATACATGGGGTGAATGGGGGAATCAGGTCACCGATTTGTCTAAGAAAGGACGTTCTTTCGGTTGGAGAGTTTGGGGCGTAGATATTGAAGAGTAAGAATTCCTCTTCCTTCCATCTCAGGTGTAGCATACACCATCTTCCTTCAGTGAGGTCGGCTTTCTTGTCGACGACCGAGCCTGTTGCATATAGGCGGGAGGATTTGGGGATCAGGATGGCTGTTCCCTTGGTGCTGGTTTCAGGGTCAACCGACCAAATTTCTTCCTTGAGGCCGCCTAGTTTTCTTGCCATATAAGCTCGAATTCTGTTGTGTGTTGTTGAGAAGGTGAGGTGTGTTTCCTGCCGTAGCACTATATCAGCTAGCTTCCTTTCCCTCATGGATATCCCAGATAGTATATCGTTCCACTTTTCTTCTCTTTCTAATATGTTCCCTAACCCGTTAACATTCCAGCTTCTGAGGACTAGTCCTTGATTCTTCCAATCCATGTGGCCTCTTACCTCGTTCGCTCTTCTCATGTAGCTCTCCATAACTGTAGCTGGATCATATTGGAGAGACTCTCAATCCCGGATTGTCTAGGTAGGAGAAAGTGGAGAGGTGCCCGTGCTGGCCCCGTCCCCAGTTATCGCCTGAGACGAGCCTACTCCAGTGTCCTTGGTTGGAGAGGCTGCAGGGTGTCCTGCCTTGTCAGGACTCTCTGGATCAAATTGGCCATTCTCGTCGTTATCTAGATCAATGTCCCGGTCCCGGGTCTCACCTTCATCGCCCCCTTCCCATTCAGAACAGTCGGAGGCGTGATTGGACAATTTGAGCCACGACTGAGGCCATCAGCTCTTCCGACACACTGATACCGGCTAGGATGCTGTAAGGGACTTCAGCCACTGTTCGCCAAGGTTTCCAGATCATCCCTGTTTTCAGCTTCGTTGATTCTGACATCTTGGCTATCAGGGGAAAAAAGGCCCTCGGGGAATTCCTGGTCATCTTGTCCTTGCCATGTTTGACGCATCTTGTTTCATCCTGAGAGTTGGAGTCGGTCAGGTCCGATTCCAAAGCTACTGTCTCAAAGAGACCCAGTGGGGAATCCAGCGTTACCTGTTCTTTGAGTACCTTCACCACGTTTTCCCCCTCAACAAAGTGGGGGATTTTGAAGGCTACATCCGTTGCGATTTGCCACTCCTTCGCGTTTGATACGTATCTGGCTGCAATGAGGGGTCGGATGTTCCTCAGTGTTCTTCGAGCCGCTTTGGCCAATTTTGAAACCATTGGGGCTCTTCCCCCAGCAATCTGCGAGATGGTAGTGAATTCGGATGCATATTCTTTGTTCCATTTTTTCAATTTCTCAGTTTGAGACAAAACTACAGCCGCCTCTTTCTCCAAGAGGTCTCGTTCCGATTTCTCTTCCGCCTCGGTTTGATCAATGTTCGTGTCCTTTCGTTTCTGGTTCTTGCCCAATTTCCTTGCCTTGGGTCGTAAATCCTGGAAGTTGTCCTTGGTTGTGGGGATGGTCTTGTCCTTGTCCTCAGTTCCTTGTTCCCTTGCCCTTTTCTTCTCTGCGTATCTGAAAGCCGCATATTCAGAGAATTCTTCAGGTTTGACTTTCTTGAGGATTTCGTACTGGTTAGAGGAGCTATTGCTTCCTGCTGATGCATCTCTTTTTCCGTTCGCCTGGGATCTCTCTGTGTGTTTCAAGCAGGCTACACGGATATCAAATGCATGTTCTCTTTCCCTTTTTGCCCACTCCACATAGTCTCTAAGCCAAGCCAGGGACTGTGTGGAAGCGTCCTCTTCTTCCGTGGGGGTCGCTTCAAGAGTTGTTTCCTTCCCCTCAGATTCTTTGTCTGCCTGCCCTCCCATCAGATCCAAGTCCATTCCTTCCCCTTCGGCCCCTGTTTCTGTCAGTCTCGTTTCCTTTCTTCCTGTTGATTCTTCAGCCCTCCTCTTTGGACCAGATTCTTTCTCAGACGATCCAGCATCGCCTTGTAGTTGGCGTTTGTTGTCGACTTGTGATTTGTTCCTTCTCTTGTAGGTTTGCTGCACGACTTGCTTCAGTAGTTCTCTGAAAGAGCCTGTTTCCTTGTTGTACTCCTGTTCGATCTGTTCCCTTACTGTGTCAAGATCCCACAGCAAATCTTCCCTTGCTTTCTCCTCCCTAATCACCCGTGAATCCGTAATGGGGCTGGTGTTGATCTTTGTTGGGTTGCCTTTGACTTTCCCGGTAGCTTTCTTTTGCCATCTGCTATCAGCCGGGGGGAAGATGTCTGGCTTTTTGGTAGGGGGGGACTGGTCTGCAAAATGCCAGACCCAGTCAGGTTCATCGAGGTTGTCATCGAAGACCCAACCATCATAACAAGAATCAGCCACATACCAAATACCGGGAGCATCTTCCACTTCTACCAGCATGTTCGGTAGAAGTTCTCTTTCTTTTGCTTGCTTTGGAAACTTGGGACAGCTCGGGTCAATGGCCTCTTTCTCTACATCGAAAGCAAATCGGTGAGGCTCTTGTAGAGATCCTTACTTCGATCACCCTGTTCTCAATCTGGAACTTCCAGACCTGTGGGAAAACAGGGGGATCGTCTGTCTGGACATCCAGGATTGCTGTCAAAGTGCCACAGTGAAGCGCCAGAAAATCTGGCGTCGGAAGAATCCATTTCAGAACTTTGTTCGCTGTGTATTGTCTCTCGAGCCTATCCACCAGTAATCCGTGGAAGCCTGGTTGAATGTTGTCGAATTGAACCCAAAAGTTCTCCTTCATTAAGGTCTGTTTGTAGGAGACTACGAATCCTGGGGTCTGTCTCTGGGCTGAGAGTTTTTTCCACCTTTTGATCGTACAAACTGAGCCGTGGCAGTTTCTGGATTGCATTTCAGTTGCGATCCTCGCGTGGTCCTTATGGATGAATAACACCATGATGTTGTTCCGGCCCAAGTTTTGCAGCGAGAAGGTGTCACCTATCAGTTTGCATCTTGGTTCCTTCCGAATTGTTTCGATTACCCATTTTCTTTTCTCCGCTGGCTGGAGATCTGCCCCGTGAAGTGCGAAGTTAAACACCACGCCGTGGTTTTCATGAAGTCCATCCAGCTCGGCGATTTTCTCTTCCGGGTATTTCCATATAACCACTTCTTCTTCTTTGCCTTCCACTATCTGTTTCTCAGTGGACTCGATTCCTTGGACCTTCGTCTTTTCGATTAGGAATTTGAGCGCTTCGTTATCGATAACATTGACAGTCTTCTCGGGTGATTCCTGATCGGCTGGCACCATGGCATGTGTTGGGTTAGCCATCTTTCCTCCTTTAATCAATCGGATCTGTCCCCTTAGATTCTTGGTA